CGGGGGTGCGCGGGGTGCGCCGGGGGGGGGGAAGAAGAAGCAAGATTGCAGCCCAGTTCTACTCGTCCACTCGTCCACACCTTGCTCACCGCTAGCGGAAATGGAGCCTCGGATGGGCACGAGGGGTACAATGTCGTGCTCGAGAAGCGAAAGGAGGCCTCGCAACACTTCGCTCCTCACGCCAGAATGACCGCGCAGGAAACCGTGGGCGCGCAGAGCGATCGCTCCGCGCACCCACTCTTTGGGCATGCTGAGGTCGAGGCGAGTAGGGCGAGTGTTGGCGCTGCTGCTGCTGGGATCATCATCCGCAAGGGAGCCTGCCGTGCCCAAGTCTCCGTACAACAGGCCTGCCAGTTGGTTCTCTAGTGTGTGCAAGCGTTCGCCTTGCACCGTGCTATACGCTGTAGGCAAGAGTGGGGTGATTCGAACGACAGGAGTCAGTGCGAGCGAGCGCGCGCGACCGTGAATCAAACAGAGGAGGAGGAGGAGGAGGAGGAGGAGAGAGGGCTTGAAGGCATCCATCCATCCATCCATCCATCCATCCATCCATCTCTCCCATCTTCCAATCGCAACTCGCCTGCTGCGCCAAAGGGAACATTGATGCCGTACATTGGCTTGTCAAACGCGCCCTCTCTGCCCTTTTCGCTGACCAAGCGCTTCTCGCTCTCCAGCAAGCGATCCAACGCAGCCGGCTCAATGGCAATGTCTGCTTCGCCGCTGTTTCGCGCGCGCGCGCGCATAGTATCAATATTGTCTCGGCGTCAGCATCAGAGCGAGTGGATGGGATGGATGAGGTGCGTGCGCAATCGCAATGTCTGACTCGCTCAGCTGCATTGATTGTGATTCGCAACTCACCGCGCAATGGCGATCAAACCAGCGACATCGAGTTGCTGCCCATCCAACACCACCACTCGACGCCTCGTCATTGTCGATGACATGTCTGACTGATGCTTGTGCTCTCTTCTTCTTTCTGTCAAATCCCACTTCTTCTTGGCGCTTGCAGATCGCTCAAACTGCTCGCTGTCACGAGCGCGACAAGGTATGCAGTAGACGTCGTCGTCGTCGTCGTCTTTACACAGCGCCTACATTCCGCTTCAATAACGTGGAGGTTGTTGCAAGGGGGGCGGTGCCGTGGCATGGAGCTCAGAAGCGCGCGGCTGCCTATCTCATGCAGCACCGTCGCAGCGCATGCCCCCCGTCCTTTCTAAGCATGCAGGCGCCATAGCGCCGGAGATGTGCAGCGCGCGCACAGGAGGACAAGTCCAGCCATGCATGCATGCATCGTGCATGGGTGTGTGCGAATCAGAGCATACAGTACGGTACACTCGAGAACTGCATGTACTGTACGAGCAGATTCCTGCATGAAATGCAATGCGCCATCGTGCAGCCCACAGACGAGAAATTCCAATGTGAATGTGAATGTGAATGTGAATGTGAATGTTGAAGCGCCCATGCAATGCACGCCGCTGGGTCAGCGTGCGTCCGCGTGCGCCCCCCAAAACTCGATCGAGTCACGCGTACCAGCTTGCCGCCTGCTGGCCCAAAGTCGAGGCATCTGTTTGTCTGTACGGCCCCCGCCCTGAATACGTACCCCCCCCACACATGCACCTCTCATCATTACCGCCCTACAGCTCAGACTGGGCAAGATCAAGCGAGGGCGGGGGCGGGGGCGGAGGCGACGCACTCCCACGTGGCACTTGCCTTTCTTCCCCCGCGCGAATGTTTTGCGGTGCGGGCCCGTCTTGGTCAGCTTCGCTTTCTATACAAGGAACCCACACAGCTCCATTCGTCCCGCCAGGATGCATCACCACACCTCACACCTTCCAAAGCAGCCTTGCTGGTGAGCAACCACGATAAGCGGCGATTCGCACAAGCCCCATATATTCCTGATTAGGGCACAACAGCAACAGTCTACATTTAAAGTACAGCGTAATGTAATGTGTAATGTGCACTAGATATATTTGCAAGGCATCCGAGATGAGCGGTTTTTTGGGTTTTGTTTTTGTTTTTCTTCTTGTCTTATTTAGCGCAGCGAAGGCAAAAGACGTGAGTGACTACGGGCTGCGATGCACAGCCTCGATCTGGAAGGATGGGGTGGGATTAAAGGGGTAGGAAGAAGAAGAAGAGTCTTGACTTGCAAGCACTTGCGGACGACGCAGAGAGCTGATGGAGATGCCGCCTTGAGGGTGTCTGCTATTCTCCTGCGCCCGTTGACCCCACTGCGGATGACCGACTGCGACGGCAGGGCTGGACGCGATGCCAAATTGTGCAGAGCCCGAATCCATAGAGCGACGTTCCATCAGCTCAGTAGTCGGACTTCGGTGCTTCTTTGATTCGTAATCGTACACGTCGTCTTCCTCCTCTTGCGCTCGACGGGTGGTGAATGGATGCGCGACGGCATCCGACGTGACTCGGTAGCCTTGGCCCATCACTTTTGGCATGCCGCCGCTCGCAGCGCTGATGCTGTCGCTCCGCGTCTTGTCCTCGGGCGCTATTTTGCCGTTGCTGCTCCTGCTCGTGTACTGGTCTGGGGGAGAGACGTTGACGGAAGTGGTGACATTGACGCAGCCTGAAAATTGATGCTCGCCAAACACGTCCGGCGCGACGAGCGGAGCGCCGAGCATGTTTTGATCGAACACGATGCGAATAGCGACGATGGCGTTTGCAACGAAGCTGATGGGCGATGGAATGTGGGAGAGGATGGGGTCGTCGACGGCGAGCTCGACGATGAAGCAGGCTCCATTGGTGATGAAGCAAGCGATGAACCAGAACAAGTTGCTGCGCAGAATGAAGCGTCTCATTTGCCTGCCTTGAGGCGAATCCGCACCGACTTGCAGGTGATGAAGCCTGAGCAGGGTCATGAGGAGGACGACAGTGTCGAACAGCATGCTCATGCCCCATCCCGTCGCACGCCACTTTGGATCTGGCGTGGGACGGCACCAAGGCGTGTGAGGGGGCAGATTGGGCACGTTTGCAGAGTGGTAGGTGAAGGCGATGGCGATCCACACACCGACCGTGGCGATCCAGAGCACGCCCAGTCCCCAAAGGATGCGAGTATCCTTGCGGTAGATGATGTAGATGCGGGCCACAAAGATGGAAGAGGCGCAGGCCCAGCTGACGCAAAAGCAGAGCCACATTGCACGAAACACGCCAAAGCAGCTCTGCGGCCGGCCGTAAAAGTGGACGATGGCGAGGATGCCAGAGAGGAGCAGGGCGTATCTGACGATGCACATGGTGACGGGACCGTACGTCGCTTGCAGACGCTCTCCCACATTCATACCCAGCAGCTCGCGCCTCTCCTGCTTCAAGAAGCCCAGCTTGCGCAATAGGCTTTTCCACACCGCAAGTTCGGACGGTAGCCAGATGATGTGCTCCCAGATTGCGACGGATGCAAAGGCGAGCGTGACCCATCGCAAGATATTGCCGTGGTATTGCTCTTCAACGAGCGCGGCCGCTGCTGCCGCTGCCGGTGAGCTCGACATGGTGATCGAGTAGAATGGCTAGTGTGGAGCAACAGAGGTTGGATGCGCTAGCGGGAGAGGAAGCGAAGGGGCGGGGGGGAGGTCACTCGGATGATGGAGCCTTGGGAGGGGAAGAATTGGAGGCGAGGGG